ATTGTCTCCTTCAGGAAGTCTTCCCTGATTTATTCTTTGCACTGACTACCTATCACTGTAGCTGTTTTTTGGAATGTTATCTGCACTGATTTGTATGTCCCTCTGTGTTCTTTTTTTAAAGGTTTTTATTTATTTACGAGAGAGAGATCAAGAGCAGGGGGGAAGAGTAGAGGGTGAAGCAGACTCCCCACCTAGCAGGGAGCCCAGCATGGGACCCAATCCCAGGATTTTGGGCTCATGACCCGAACCAGAGGCAGACGCTCAATCGACTGTGTTTTTAAGTCAGTGTGTGGGTGCATGTAGGTGTAGGAGGTACATTTCCTGGCTGCTTCTTAGCTCGTGGGGGCTCTGTGTGTGTGTGTGTGTTGTGTCTCTATGTGGACTTATATACATATATATGTGTGTGTGTGTGTATATATATATATATATATATAGGCATGTGCATATTTACACATGATTTATATACAATAATCTACAATGTGCCAAGCACTGGACTGAGTGCCTTACTACTCAACAAGATAGGTTCTATTATTATCATCCACATTTTCCATGTAATAAAACTGAAGTGCAGAGAAATAAAGTAATTTGTCTAATATCACTCAGCCAAGCTGGCAGTGAGGCCAGGATTCGACCGTGGCAGTCTGAATATGTATGCTTGTCACCATGACACCATCCTCAGAAAGCATCTCAGATGACTCTCCTACAGTAGCCTCAGGAAGGACTTTGTCTTTAACCCGTTAACCCGTTTATTGCTGACACAGAGTAGGCACATACGGGGGGGGGGGCGGTGGCTGGGGGTTGGAGAAGATGGGAGTTGAATTCCGACTTACCTGCCCTAAGGCACTGATTGAGCGCCTGTCCCGCACATCAGGCCGGATGCCAAGGGGAACACAGATGGAATGCATCCTGGATATTAAGGAGCAGCCCCGGGTTGGAGGGATTCTCTTCTGGCTTCTGCTGCAGGAATCTAATCTTGGCCCTGGCCCTCCCGAACCACCTCCACAAACCCAGGTGAATGCTGGCGAGGTCACGGCTTTTTGTTGTTGTTGTTGCAGACCCAAGTGAACTGGAACGAAAGATCCCACGTGCTTGACACGTGGAAATGCTCAGAGCCAATGGTTTATAAACTTGCCAAATGCTGGAGGAGTAAACATGTCCGTGGAGGCATCGTCTGGCAGTGATGTATGCAAACAGAGAGCCTGGACTTCCGGCGCTCGCCTTAAGGTGGCCTTGGTTTTAGAAGCCCGGGGCTTGCTCAGAGCTTAGCCACATGCACGAGCCTGCGCATGGCAAGCTCTTGGTGACTGCTAACAGTCCCTATCATTACTGCCTGTCACAGAATGAATCTCTGAGGCATCCATGAAGCTGTGAGCCTCCTTGCCTTGCTGAAAGCCGTTCCACCCCGTCCTAACATCCTTTTAGGGTTTCGCGGCCAACTCGGCTTTTCAAAACTAACATTTATTATGTGCTTCGAAGTGCCAGGTGCTTATGTATATTTACACGTTGTCTCCTAGAATCATCTCTAGGCCCTCTGAGAAGACTGCTGCTATTTTCTCCATTTCATGGATGAAGAATTGGAAACCCAGAGAAGTGAAGCAACTTACCTGAGGTCCCACAGCCTAAGTAGAAGTACCTGGCTTGTCTGACCCCAGAGCCCACACCCTTGCTCTTCACCTTCTGGGCCTGACTATGCCATACCCACATTCATATTCCATGACGCCTACTGATCAGAAGGTTTCCTTTACTGGATTGATATCTCAGCCCATAAACCAATGGTTCCCAATTACCAGCACAGTGGTTACTGCCCTACAATCAGCACAGGAATTGTTCTGTTGAGGATAAGTTACTCTGCCTTACACTTGCATAGGATGTGGCTGTTTACTTTCAGATATGTGGTTTGCCTTCACGGTCACAACTCTGGGAGTTAGGAATGATTATTTTCATCTCACGGCTGCAGGATCTGAGGCCAAAGAGGGGCTGTGGCTTGCCAAGGATCACAGATAGGAATGGGGGAGCAGGGCCTAGAATGTAGCTCTGCTGACACCGAGTCCTTGTCTGTGGCATCACACCCAGCTGTTTCCTCATCACCAGGGGCCTGGGGGCACTCACTCTTCAATTCAGGCCCGTGGAAGAAAGCCTGAGTTGGGCCCCTGTGATCTTCATAGCCCACACTTGCACTCATTTCTGCACCCCCATTCCTAATGTCCCCTTTTGTCTAAGGAGCAGAGAACACGTGGTCCATGAGGGGCTGCGCCTGTGTCCTCTGTCCTCCAGGTCTGGGGTGGACTCTTCTCCCAGAATGCAGATTAGACAGAAGAGAAAGTGGTGAGACTTCGAAGGAGAACATTCCTGTACCTCATGGGGATGCAACTAGCTGTTTCGTTGGCTGCTGAAAACCCTTCTCTCTGTGGTAGGTGTTTTGCTAGTGGTGGAAGCAGATCTAGGGGCCACTAGTGCCCTGGCTGGGGGACAGGAGGTCAGAGGGACAGACTGGGAATATAAACCAGAGTCAGGCACCGTACTGCTCTCATCTCCCAGAACCAGGAGTTTTGCTTTGCTAGGAGGGCTGGGCTGTGTCCGGCTGAGGACGAGCCCGGGGCTCACTCTAGTTTTCTTTGGCATGCTAGAGGGAGGCCTTCCGGCCGAGGAAGCTGCAGAGGGGAGGGTATCAGCTCGACTCTCCAGGCTTTGGGGGAACTAGGCAGGAAATCTCGCGTGGCGAGCAAAGGAAGGGCTAGTGGGATCCTCAGCAGCCGCCCCTCTGTGGGACATAATGGGTGGTTGCGAGCTGTTGTTTCAACGGGTTCAAGTGTCTGGCACCCCAATGACCTGGGCCCACCTCTTAGAGGCAGCTGGGGTGGGTCTGGAAGCCAGAGCTCCTCTGAGTGTGGGCGCAGAGTCCAAGCTGCACAACCACCGGGTTTGGGGTTGTTTTTGGACCTCCCCGACTCTCCTGGGCCAAACTGATATCCCGGTGCGGGGTGTGAAAACACTGCCTCCCACATGGCAACTCGGGAGCTGGGCCTCGAGCTTTGCTGCCTTTGGGGAAGGCCTTGGCATGGGTGGGGTGAAGGGGACCTCCTCTTACCTGAGGCTCGGCCTCCGTCCTTCCTCAGAGGCTTGGAGGCTGCCTTCCCTCAGGCAGGCCAGGAGAGTCCGGAATATACATTGTCGGCGTCCCAGCGGCCTACAGCGCTGGGACAAGCTCCCCAGACTCTTCATGCTGGTCTAGCCGCTCATAAATGGAGTTTTGGGGCTGGGAGCTGGCGAAATGTCTCCCTCACTGCCTGCCCTCTCCACGGCCAGGACCCCGCAGGCCTGCCAGCCCGAGGAGGAAGGCCACCCAGGAACGGTCTGCAGGTGGAGCCGGAGGGCTGAAGCCTCGGGCCCTGGAGCCCAGGGAAAAAGCCACAGGCACAGGTCAGTGGGAGGGCTCCCTCTCCCCAGCCTTTATCTCACCAAGTATCTCGGCACGCAATGTTCTGGTTGGTGTTTCTTGAGCATAAATCTTTATTCCAATTGCAGTAGCTTTGACAGGAAAAATAGGGTGCATTTTCATCATGTTTTCACCCTAATCAAATGCCTCTCTTGCCAGAGCTCTCTACATTTCTAATTTGGCCCTATTTGGATTGGGTTGGGGGCGGGAGGGACAGGCGGTGTTACAGAGGAATGGATATGACCTTTTTTTCTTTTTTCTTAAAATCAGAGGGACCATTTGTATCTAAAAACTAGAGTAGGCCTTTCACCCTGGCCAGGAAGGGATGGCTAGGAAAGCAGAAATTCCATTTCAGTGTAAGTGTTCCTCTGGGGGAAGAAATGCGCCTTCAGGGAAAAAATAAGGAAGTTACAGGGGAAGGTGGCAGCTGGAGGATGGGTGGAGCCCTACTCCAGGCTGTCGCCTGGAGTCACTCTGTCACCCCTACCCCTGGCCAAGACCTCTTGAAGTAGTCAGTGTCGATGAGCATAACCCCCCCAAAACACAATTGCTCAGGGTGTTGGAGTTTTTGGAGGCCCAGGATACTGCTGCTGGTCAACACGATACACTTTTCTCTTCTTTCTGCCCTGCGGCCCCCTCCTCACCAGCCTCTCCTCTCCCCTCTCTGGTTCACTGTCCCCTGTCAGGGAGCAGCAGGAAGTCTTTGTTCCCTTCTGGCTTGGCCCACCTTTCCGCTGCACCTCCCGGAGTTTTGTGTGGGTTCTCACTGTGTTTACCTCTTTTCCCCTCTACCACCATCTACTCTCCCAGTTTCCTGACCCCTCCCCACCTTCCGTCACTTACAGAAGTCACCCAATTAGTTCTTTCTGGGAAGTTCTTGGCCCCGCGATCATGGGCCAACACTGGGGCCATTGGAAGCTGCTGTGGGGCCGTCAGTGGGTGGCAAGAGTGCTGGAGGCCCTCATGTGTTCTCCGGTAATGATCTCTTTCTGCAGGAAGCCTCTGGAGGATAAGTGCAGGGCCCGCCATTAGTCCTAAGGCAATCTTAACATGAAATCAGATCTACCATGACAGCTCTCATGAGATTATTTCATTACCGTTCTTCCAGACAGCATTTCAGCCAAAAGCAGATCTCTCTCCCCCCACCCCAAAACAAGCCAGCCTCACAGGTCTTTGATGCAAGACTGTTCCTACTGTAAGGCGAGTCCCTCCAGGACTCTGAAGCGGTGGGCCTGCTTCTGCCGAGGCTCCCCAAACCTCCCCGAGGCTCACGCACTGGGGCAGTGGGCCAGGTAATCCAAGGATTAGGTAGCTTTGGCTCTGGAATGCTGAGCAGAGTTGCAATCCGGCAGACGTCCCTTTCTAATTATGTCCGGCTTAGGGGAATCTGTGAACCCAGTCAGCTTTGCCCTGAAGTTTGCAGAGCTGGCTGGGGTGGGTGGGGGGGGGGAGGATGACAGCCGGGGGTGCCAGGGGTAATTCGCCCCACAATGTCCCCAGACTTGCAGAGGGTCACACTTGGGGAAAATGACTGGAGTGCCGGCACATGGGATGCTTCCAAAAATTTAATAAATAATGATTTTTTAAAACTGTATAAACTATAAATTACCATGCAGTCCTTATAATTTAAAATAATTTACAGGTTGAGGTAGGGAGGGGCCCAGGAGGGGGTGGAGGGGGAGCTGGGGGGGGGGGGCTGTCCTGCAGGTCAGGCTCTTCTCCCAGCCTTCCTGCTGAGCACGCACACGCAGGCTGTGTCAATCCGGATAAACCGCCAGGCAGCCTGCTTGCCGTCCATGGTCAGCGCCTTGACAAAGGTGTGGGTCGTGGTACAATACGAGTTCCAGTGCTTGGCGTCGATGCCCCTGCACCCGCTGTCCACGGGCGTGGGGTCCCGGCACTTGGTCTCAAAAAAGTACTGTTTGAACACGCTGTTGTTAATGTTCACCTCCCCCAAAACCATCACCTCCTTGCCTTTGATGTCCGTGGCGGTGGTCTTGTCCCCCACCCACACGCTGACGCTGTCGCACACCGAGAACTCGCCCCGGTGGAAGACAGGGTGGGACGACGACCGCTTGCTCCTGCGAGTCCTGTTGCCCAAGGCGGCTCCGCCGGCCTCCAAGTCCAGATCCTGAGTATCTGCGGCCACAGGTGGGGGGTGCGTGCTGAATAGCACGCGGGGTGAGCGCAGTCGCCGCTTTTTAAAGAGTTTGGGGTCCACAGTGATGTTGCGGGTCTGCCCGGCCACCCTCGCAGCTATTGCCCCCGCCGGGGTGCTGCGGGCTCGGCGGAGGGCTGTGTCAAGGGAATGCTGAAGCTTAGTCCAGTGGGCTTGGGGGATGGCGTGTCCTGCTGGGACATGGCTCTCGGGGTGGGCTTCTGCCTGGGTGCCGATCAAAAGAGCTGTGATCAGAGTGTAGAACAACATGGACATTACGCTGTGCACCTGGAAGGAGACAGAAACGGGGATTAGTCCACGGGGCACGGAGTTCTGTACAAAGGCAGTTTCTGGGTCTTGACCTCCCGAGAGGATCCCAAAGAGCTGTCTCACCTGGGAGTCCAAGGGCAAGGTGACTCTGGAATTTACCGTTCAAACCGAGAGACTTTGGAGGGTGAGAGGGGCTGCTGACCACAATGACAGAGGACGACAGGTATAAACAGGGCTGGCTCAGGTGACCTGGAGATAGGGTCACGCCATCGAGGGGCTGGGCTTTTTCAGGAAGGGACAGAGCCCCCAAATTCCACCCTGTGGCACCGTGTGAACTTGGCAGCACCATGCACATGGTCCCTGAGTGCTGCGTCTGCCAGCTGGAGGTGTCCGTGTGTGTCTGACACCTGTCCTTAGCACTGTGTTGAGCCCAACGACTTGACTCCCCTGGGAAGGCAGTGGGAAGGGTTTCCCAGGACTTGTCTTGAAGCCCCAGCCCTGAATCCACCCTCTTCAGACAGCAGCACTGGTCAGCTCTGAGATCTGGTGATGGGGAACCCTTGTTGCAAATCCATGAAACGTCATGTCTGGCAAAAAAGTACAGAGCTCTGGGACCAGCATTGCCCGGCTAGTCAGCCACCAGCCAGCACATAGAAATACCAACGCTGATATAGCTCCTTGTCGTGTGACATTTTAAAACTTTTCAAGTGCATTCATTTCTAATTTCTCATTAGTCTTGACTTAGGATTTATCGTCTTTCTTTCATATACAAGGCAAGTGATCCACAGAAAATTAACCAACAGGCCTAAAGTCATCAGCACAACTAGGAACAGAATCCAAAGCTGACCCCTTCTGAAATCCTTCTACCCTTCCTTCGCCCCTACTTTGTCTTTCATCCTTTTTCTTTCAAAAATGTTTTATTTATTCATTTGAGGGAGAGAGAAAGAGAGAGCAAGAGCGAGCACACAAGTAGGGGGAGGGACAGAGAGCCTGACTTGGGACTCGATCTCATGACTTCAAGATCATGGCCTGAGCAGAGGGCAGACGCCCAACTGACTGAGCCAGGAACCCTTGTCTTTCATTCTTAAACACGCCTTTTCCTTTTATTATTTACTCCTATGTGAGTATACAGCAAATGGCAGAAATCCATCTGTCCCCAAGAGGCAGCACAAGCAAGCCCAGACAGGGCTCCACACTGTACCAGAGTTGCCCACCTGTGACCACCCCCCCAGGGCAGCTGACTGTGGAGGTCCCAGTCACACCTGTGGATGGATATCAAATGTCACCTCCTCTGTGAAGCATCTCTAAATCTTGGGAGGGTTAGTGGCATCCCCTAGAGAGGGGGCCCAAACTTCCTATTCCATCCCTTCCTCTTTCCCATCCCCACCCCCACAGGCCATTCTGCATTGGATTTGGAGTTAGAAAACCTTGTTCATATTCCCATCTTGGCTACTTGCAAGCAGAGGGAAGTCACTTAATCTTTCTGAGACTTAGTTTCCTCATTGGTAAAAAGCAGGCAATAACAACTATTTCACAGGGATGCTGCTGGGATTGAAAGGTGCGCACACATCTCCTTACTTCTGAGTCATTCCAGTGTCCTAGGCCAAGGACTTCGTCTTCTTCAGTCACACTGCTGCTTGTTTGCTCTCTGAACTTACTCCTATAAGATTTCAGCCTGTCTCCCCACTGGCTGCAAGGTCATGGAACGCAGAGCCGTGTCTCATCCACCTGCCCTAGTCAGTCCTTCCTCGGTGAGCCCCTCTCCTGTCTACCATGGTGGTTTGCCATAACCCTATCACTGGTGTTTCCTAGTGCCATGGATAATCACGTACATTGTCTGTCTCCTGAGAGCACTGGTGTTTCCTAGTGCCATGGATAATCACGTACATTGTCTGTCTCCTGAGAGCACTTTAGAAGCTGTGCCATTTAAAGTTAAATATTTCTGGAGCCATGTGCAGTGCTGGCACATAGTAGGTCCTCAAAAAATGTAAGGCAAACGAATGAAGGAGTGAATGGGGACGGCCCGAGAAGCTCACTGCCTGCCTTCTTTTCACTGTGGTAGGTGCCTTCTCTTGGATTTTGTGGCTATGGCTGCAGGGTGCATTTCTAATCTGTTTCAAAGTGATGCATTCTTCTCTTCAATATTGTGTTTCCCCCTTCCATCCCCACTGGAAATAGGCCACTGTTTGGTGAAATACCAAGAATAAAACCACCAAATTCTTTTCTCTTGGGTTACTTTGAAAAAACACTGGTGTTTACTCCAGTCCTCCAGCCGGCTATGCACATCTGGGCTTTTGCCCACTGCTGGTTCTGCTGGCTAATGGTGTGGCACATAAACTGTCCAGCCAACTGCCACAGAACCGAGCATTCAGTTGGCTGGCAGCTAAGTCAAGCCCCTTGGTTTGCTCCTTTTCTTTCTTCTCAATACATGGTATCTCTCATCAGATAGAAGAAGGGAGAAGAAATGAAACTGAAAATTCATCCATTTATATCCAAATTAGTAACACTTAGAATTTGGATGGGAAAATGGAAAAAGAAAACCACGAAACTTTAGGGTTTTGATGGTAATAAGGGAAGTACTGCTCCCTATTTCCCATGACCAGGGGTTCCCACCTCCTCCTCCAGTCTCCCCCTTGGTAAGCTCATCCTCTTCTAAGGAGGCGGCTGAGACTTCTGTGGGATTGATGCCCGGACTGGGATCTCTAGCCCCACTGCTCTTTCAAAAGCCAGTTCTGAACCTCTAGGGGACTCTTCCCGGATACTGACATTTTGAATGCAAGGCATCCCAATCAAAAATCTTCACACTGCTACTCATCAGGATGATCAGTCCCGCCTTCCCTCTCAACAGCAGCAGCCCTGTTTTGGACCACTTGATGGTTTATGGTGTGTTATGGTGTAGTTCCCCAGCGGCTGTCTCTTGTGAACATCTCCCCACACTTCCCTCCTAAATGAGTTTCTCCAACATTTTCCTTTATTCTGGCCCTGGAACCACCCTCCCTTTGTCCACCAGCTCCAAACCTCAGCTCAACGCCGGCCTCTATTCCTTCCTCCTGGCCCTCCCCCCAGCCCTTTGCGTTCTGTTCCGGGAGCACCTCTTGAAATTGTAGTTTCCATTCTCACCTCCTGTTCCTGGTTCAGGTCACAGAGCCATCTCCCAACTGATGTCCTGGACCCTCATCTCTCTTCTTTCAGTACCTACTGTTCCTAGCCACCCCATTTAACCTCTTGAAGCCCCGCTCTGATCACCTGGCCCTGCCCAGAGGGTCCAGTGGTGAGCCGCTGTCCTCTCAGTTCAGCATCTTCTTGACCAGGAATGCTCCCCCTCGCCCTCCCTGTGCCTTTTCTGCTCCCCCCTCTCTGTTGGTTGGAGTTGTTCGCATCACCTTTTAGCACCCAACTCAAATACCACCTCCACTGGGCGGGAGGGGCGCCTTTTTCTATTTCCACAGAGACAAACTCTCTCCCTTCTCCACCTCTGTAGAGCATTTCCTTAGACCTGCCTTAGGGCCATTATGTTCTCATCTCCTCCCATCCCCAGGCAAACTCCCTGGAGGCAGAAAAGCACCCTGCCCCTCTTCGTTGTATCCAGGTGACCTAGTGTTCACAGGTGACTCCAGCTCTAAGAGTCAGGGAGGGTGTGGACGCGCCCCTTGCTTCTGTGCTCCTTCACTTCTCCATGCGACCGCAGACTCTTGAGGAATCTTCCAGCTTGGACATGCTTGAGTTTCAGCAGCCATACAGGTTACTGCTCTGCCCAGCACTGCAGGTGCTACTGAATTCTTAATGTCGACGGTAACTTCCAGTTCACCGTCACGATAACACATGGTAGTGGACGGCATTTCATCACGGGGGAGGGTTGCATCAGGCACAGACTGCTTTGTTAAGATTTTTGAAAATGTTGGAAATGTTCTCTCATAAAAGTTTTTAATTGACTCACCCCTAATAGCATGCCCCATAGTCTTTTTTAAAACTTTAGTTTTTATATTTAAAATATACTCCTTGGCGTGGTTTTTTTTTTCAAGTGAGAATATTGCCATGTCTGACATTTTCTCATAAGGCAGGGACAATATCAAATATTTTTACTTATTCATTTTCATTAAGCTTTTTATTTTAGTTCCAGTAAAGTTAACAGTGTTATAGGAGTTTCAGGTGTATAACACGGTGATTCAACAACTCTAACCATTACTGAGGGCTCATCATGGTAAGTGTCCTCTTTAATCCCCTTCAGCTATTTCTTTTTAAATTAAGTGTTTCTTTTTAAAAATCATCAGCGGAGAACTAAAGAAAAGAAAAAAAACGAGTGTGATTTCTAGTCCAGTGATACGATGAACAAAGCGCAGTTTACAAAAGAACATTCTCTCCTTGGTTGACGTAAAACCACGGAGTGACTTTTCTTTCTTTCTTTTTAAGAACAACCCTCGAGGGGCACCTGGGTGGCTCAGTGGGTTAAGCCCCTGCCTTTGGCTCAGGTCATGATCTCAGGATTCTGGGATCGAGCCCCACTTCGGGCTCTCTGCTCAGCAGGGAACCTGCTTCCTCCTCTCTCTCTCTGCCTCTCTGCCTACTTGTAATCTCTGTCTGTCAAATAAATAAATAAAATCTTAAAAAAAAAAAAAAAAAAGAACAACCCTCGAATCCTTTCTCCTGATGACACGACAGGCGGTCCTCATTGAGGCTTCGCGAAGCAGAGCCCTATCAGCTGAACGATCAGCTGGGGATGATGCCCTTAGGGGCTCACATGGGGGAATGTGTTTTGTGTCACGGCTGAATGTTCTGTATTTGTCCTGCTCCTAGCCTGAAAGGAGGACATATGATTAAGAGAGTGTGTATGTGTATGTGTGTTGCGGGGGTGCCTTTTATTCAGGGCTCCCCAACTTCTGTGCCCTCTCGGACCAGGGATACATTCTGGGGGTTTCCATGGTTCCTATGCTCCAGTGAGGACAGAAATTTCCTGCACCTGGTGAGTGATCTTCACACTGACTCAGGCTGCACGTGGGGAGGTGATGAAGCTGCTGGACGCAGCTGAGCAGGTGGCCCACATCCTTGCAGCTCGGAGGGCTGACAGCACCTGGGGACCGAACCCGTGGTGGTTCTCTGTCCAGGGAGTATGAGGATTCCTGCCTCAGAGGGGTGGTGCCTAGAGCTAGTAGTGATTCTGGGCCAGAGACTGGGTCAGTGAACCGAGATCATTAGTGCTAGTGAGGCCAAGTGCCTGTGGCTGAGGAAAGCCAGCCTCCCCTTCCATCCTACTCGCCATGTTATGAGAGTGGGTCAAGGGTCCTTTTCCACGTACACGTGGCCTTGCTCTCATGTAAACATGCTGCTGTCTTCAGTGTAAAGATGGGGACACCCCCAGTTGTCAGCACCTGCGTGGAACGTGAGAGGCCTTCTGCCGCTCCTCAGCTCCCCAGGGAGGTCCCCCTGAGGCCTCAGCAGAGAACAGCATTGCCAGGACGGAACCCAGTGAGCGCCTCTGCTGGCCTCTCCCCGGGGAGGAAGCTTGGACCGGAAGGGACATCAGAGATGATCAAGTCCAGAGGTTCAGGGTGTCAGAATAACCTGGAAGGTCTGCCAAACTGCAGATTGCTGGACCCCACTGTTTCTGACCGAGGAGGCCTAGGGTGGGGCCCGAGACTCGACGCTTCTCACAGGCTCCCAGGTGATACTGACGCCACTGGACCGAGGACTGTGTTTTGAGAATCAGCAATCTAGTCCAATCCTTGAGCTTGACAGAGGGGACACATGGGTGTTGGGGAGTCTGAGTGACCTTGGGGTTCTGCAGCTCGTGAGTGGCGGGCTCCAAGTATGGGAGCTTCCCATCGTTCAGCCTCAGCACCTTCCCGAGGAGAGAGCCCTGAGGCCACGCGCGCACTGGAACCCAGGGCTACACTGAGTTGGTCACCAACATCAAAATGAGAATTCCATTCAACAGGCTGTAAGTTTTACCTCCCTTGTGCCACAAATCCGGACACTGGGGAACACCTGGATATTCGATTATTTTCCTATTTGGTTGATCAGGTTTCTAGGCATCAGGTCGATTTTGTCCAAAAGCACTTGGAGTGCCCATGATAGAAATATGCAGCCAGAAGGCACTAGCAGGTACAGGCACCTGCGGCTTTCCTGGGAACAGGATCTACTGGCCTGAAGTCTTAGGCACACATTTAAAATGAATGAGGGGAGATCATAATTATCATCATTATCCTTTATTGGGCATAAGTACCTCATTAACCTTTGCAACAAACCTGGGAGGAGGCCTTACGATTCCTGTTGCACAGAGGAGGAAACAGGTAGTAAGAGTAAGTACCTGGAAGTGGGCACACACCCAGCCGCAGTAGAACTCAGCGCTGGCCTCTGTCCCCTGATCTGGAGCTTCCCCTACCTTCTACTCCATGGCCAAGGGCGTGAAAGTGATCAAGGATACTTCATCTCACAAGGCTGCCTACTCAGACAGACCAGGCGCTGTGTGGAGAGTCTGACCGCTGCTCTCTGTCTGTTGGAGGCCCTGGGTTCTGTTACTACAGAGGTGGACAGCTCAGACTCTTAACCTGTCCCTGGAGGTACGGGACCAGCTGAGAGCATGAAGGCCACATGTGCTGGATCACTAGGCCCATCCCAGAGCCCAGCTGATTAACAGTTAGATGTGACTCCTCTTCTTCAGCCCGGGGCTCATGTCCAGCTGTCTCAGATGCTCCAGAGCCAGCAGCCTCGGTGAGGCAGGAACCCCTCAAGTGCTTACCTCGGTGGGGCCAGGACAGAAAGCTGCTCCCTTGGAAAAGCCGTTATTGGGCCCGGACACTGAGCTGAGCTTGGGTCCAGCATGCCATCCAGCCCCCTGGACTGCACAACCACGGGCCAGGACTCTGTGGGATGAGAGAGCTGGCATTAGATGGGCACTTTACCATATTCTCTAGCAGGTGGATAGCTGTACCCTAGGCAGGAGGGTACAATAGGGTATACGTCCTAGGCAGGGACATGCCAATAGGACAAACCCCATTCCCTGAGTTTTGGGTCTTTACTGGCATCAGCACCCGGGAAGGACCTAGAGTCTAGCTACCAAAATTGCCAGGGGTGACCTTGCACCGACCTACGGTGGCCCCTGCCTCCGATTCTTGTGCCAAAGTGCTTGGTTTCTGCCTGGATGCAGCCCCTGGGTCCCAATGAGGAGCTTCCTATCCTGCCCCAGCGCCCTGCTTCAGCAGACCCTGACTCAGCACCAAACCAGAAATTATTCTTTACATTAGACACATGCAGATGTAGTAGACCCAACTTAGGACGGCCCAACTTAAGATAAATTACATGGAAGAAAAAGACCTGACAACTGAGACCAAGTTTGGATCTGATAAAGATCCAAATGAGTAATGGTGGCAAATACTATAACCTGACCACTGGATAGAGAACAGAAAACTCTTACGGAATTGGGTTATGCCTCTCTAAGAATCATGCCAAAAGTCAAATTTTATCAATCAGAAGATATATAGATGATACAATGAGGAAAAAAAAATACTATTCGAGTTTAGGCTGTAGTTCCTAGAAGCAATGGAAGTTTTCTGTTCTCCTCTCACTTCTATAAACCTTGTACATATGTAAGTGTTTCCTTCATTCATTCAGCAATATTTCCTGAGCACCTGCTATTTGTTATGCACTGATCTGGGTGCTGGGGACCCAGCAGTGAATAAGACAGACAGGGTCTCATCTCTTATGGAGCTTAAAGTCTGACGTAAATAAAAAACATATCTTCTGATTCTTTACATGTCATGAAGGAAATACACAAGGTATGATGTGAGGAGATCCTGTAGACAGGTTGCTCAGTGAAGAGTTCTTGGAGGAAGTGGTCTTCAGGTTGAGATCTGAAGAATGAAAAGGAATGAGGGAGAGAGCTTTCCAGGCAGAAGGAACAGTAAGTGCAAAGGCCCTGAGGTAGAAACAAATCAAAATTGCTGAACATGTGGAGAAATGAATGGGGAGGTAAAAGGAACTAGGTCAGGGGCACCTGGGTGGCTCAGTGGGTTAAGCCTCTGCCTTGGCTCAGGTCATGATCCCAGGGTCCTGGGATCGAGCCCCGCATCGGGCTCTCTGTTCGGCAGGGATCCTGCTTCCCCCTCTCTCTCTGCCTGCCTCTCTGCCTACTTGTGATTTCTGTCTGTCAAATAAATGAATAAAATTAAAAAAAAAAAAAAAGGAACTAGGTCTGCAAAGACATAGCTGGAACGATGGTTTTATCCTAAGGGGAAGGGGAAGGGAGTGGAGGGCTTTGAGCTGGAGAATGACAACATTTTTAGTGAATGAGTGAATGAATTATTATGTCTATTGTAGCACTTATGAAGGATTGAGTCCCCACCCCCCAAAAAAAGTCTAGAATGACATCTGTATCCTTCCTGTTTATAATATCTCTCCAATTCCAAAAACCCCTTTCCACATCACATTTTTTCCAGTATGGACCCCCACCACTTTTCTCCCTTCAACTCCCTTTCATCTTGTACTACAGAAGCATATGTCAATGAAGCCACCAAGTTCCTAATCACATACATGAGGTAGAGGACAGGGAGGTAGAAAGAGCATCTGGAGTGGTTTTCCTCCTGTTAGAAATCATGGTATTAAGGACTGGGATATTTCCATTCCTCTTCCTTACCCACTCTACTCAAAATATCCTGTTTGCCTCAGAAGCATCAGAAAAACCTTCCCATAGGCAATTGGCATTCAAGTCTAGAGATGGAAATTTACCTAAACACCCTTTAAAAATGTTAGACTCTGTGGCAAAGTACACCGTCATGCTTTCTTGGGGTTGGGTTTAGCACTGGAGGAGGATGGCATTTCCCCGGGGTAATAGATGGGCTCCTGGGAAAGAGAGTCTGAATCCAGTCCACGAATTCTTCATCCGGGTATTTGGCCAAGACTGACTGACCATTTGACTGGAACCCACAGTTAAGCATCTCCCAGCTTCTTCTTCCAGAAGACAAGGAACTACTATGATGATAGCTAAATTCTCCTGCCCTGATCATCTGTGATTCTATGATATCAATTTATCTTTTCTGGCCTGTATCCCTAACGGATTCTTAAGTAATGCTTTCTCCTACCCAAACACTCGAATTATTTTTTTTTCATTAATTTTGGTTTTGTTTTTGTTTTACTAATGTATTACACATACACATAATACACATACATAATACACATAATGTATTATTAGCCCCAGGGGTACAGGTCTGTGAATCGCCAGGTTTACTCACTTCATAGCACTCACCATAGCACATACTCTCCCCAATGTCCATAACCCAACCACCCTCTCCCTCCCCCCCACCCCCCCACAACCCTCAGTTTGTTTTGTGAGATTAAGAGTCTCTCTTTTTTTTTTTCATTAATTAAACCGTAAAACTTGGCCCTATGCCAGCCACTATGTTAGGTGCTAAGGACACAAAGAAGAATATAACATAATATTTAACTTCCAAGAGCAAATAACCTAGAGGTGAAGAAAGACAAACACATGAACACACCTTCAAAGAACAGTGTGATAAGTATGATGTATATTCGACATGATATGGAAACTTAATCGAAGGAGGAACTAGTTTCATCTGGCCAGATGAACCAGAGACATAGGTTCATGGCGGGTGTAACATCTGAGCAGGGTTCTTAAGGATGAATAGAAGTTCATCAGGGAAGAAAGGAAGGAAAGGCATTACAGATCCCCCAGAGTTCAAGAACTGGCTAGAGGTTCAACACGGCTTGGGGAAAGGAACAGTGATGGGTCTTGTACCCATACTACTTATAGTAGCAGGTGCTTATGAGCTTGGAGAGCTCACTGCAGTGGCCTGCCCACGGACTATTACTTCTTGTGTGACATAAAAGGCGACCACTTTCCCTCTATGGAATAGCCAGGCAAGTAAGAGTGACTTTCTCTGGAAATATTCTAGATATTCCATTACAAGCCAGGATGGCCTCCAGTTTAGATGATAAGGAGGAGAGCGAAGGTTGATCTCAATTTAAAAATCCCACAACATCCAGGCAGATCTGTCTTCCCGGGGGTTTGCTATAGACCCATCACAAAAACATCCCTCACCCTATTGATGCCATCTAGGCCAAACCACCTTGGTGCACCAGGGTCACCTGCCAAGCTCGATGGCTGAGGGCTAATATTTGAGACCCTGTCTAGCATCCCCTATGCCTTTGGCCTTCTCCTGTCCAGTGTAGGTACAGTTTGCTGTTGGAGAGAACAATACCCTGTCCAGAATACTGAACACTAAATGATTTTCACAGATGCTGCTGTTATTGTGTTTAGTTTATGCTAGTGAAGGTTAGAACTCTAAAATTAAATCTGATTTAAATATCACCAATTTCTAATGCAAAGATATGAGGGACAAGCAACCCTAAGGCTTATCTATTTTAAAACTCTGTTCTCATGAGGCAATCACTTAATCAGATGGTTCTCACCCTTTCACACGTGCATTTAAATAAAGCCAAGTTCATTGCAGACCCACATTCCATTCCTTCTTGCAGGGCGTGACGGAATACTCTTTAAAGTCTGGTGTACCTCTTGCAGACCAGGACAACCCTAGTCTGTCCAGGGTCTCATGTTTAAGGCAGTGATTCTCAAAGTGTGGGCCATAGTAGTATCAGCAGTATCTTAGGACTTACTAGAAATGCAAATGCTCAGGCTCCACCACAGACCTAGCAATACTGAGTGAGACCCTGTCATGTGTGTTTTAACAGCCCCTTGGGTGATTCTGTGCACACCTAAGCTCGAGAATCACTGCTTTTGCGGGTCTACTCTGGCTCTCCTCTGTCTGCAGCCTCCCCATGGGGTGAGGGATCCGGGACCAAGTGAGAGGGTCAACCCAGAGTCAGTCTACTACCATAGATGGCTTGCTTGATTGGAACTTCCCATATTATAGTCCATTTTATGTCTAGACCATGACCCCAGAACCCCAGAACAACCAGCCTCAAGTCAGCTAGAATTAGAGGTTCTTCTGGGGCCCCCTGAGATAAAGCCTACTTGAATATCTCTCTGTTGTTTCCTGCCTCAGTGTCCCCTTCACTTTCTTAAGTTCTCAATGAGACCTTTTGGTCAATTTCAGCTAAGAAGCTTAGACAATGGCCAATAGTTGAAAATTCAACTTAATATACAGTTGGAGGAAACTAAGCCTCTGGAGAGTTATCAAGGAGTAACGGGCATCAGCTAACAACCGGCTGACTGTCGGTCAGCATCCTGCAAAGTCCTCCAAGCTTGAACTTTGTGGAAGATCTCATCTAACCTCCTCGCTTCCCCCTTTCCACTGCCCTCCTCCCCCGGTGGCTCGCCATCCTGGCTGACCACTGAAATCAGTCAAGGAGCTTTCCACACCCCTGACACCCATCCCATCTCCAGAGGTTCCAGCTTAACTGTTCCAGAGCGCTGCCTGGGGATCAGTATTTTGTAAAAATTCCTGAGGAGTTCCCAGGGAAAAAGCCGAGGCTGAGAACCACTGCTTTACAGGATGAACAGGACGATTGACATCGGCTTTGATGAGCTAGCAATTAAGAGAAATTATCAAGAAATTAATATATCTCAGAAAATGTAAAGTGCAGACGTGGTCACATTTAGGCAACAAGAATCCAGCTTCCAGACTCTCTACCCTCTGCCTGGCCAACCATCTAGATATAATTGACGCTCGTGAATTGGAAGGTTTTCTTTTTACTCCTTGCATGCCACTTAAAATGTTGTTTGGTGGCTGGAGCTATGGTAGCTTATATTAAGCCCAAGGATTATTTGCTGGCAAAGATTTGGGGATGCTTGACCAAAAAGACCTCTTGGACCATTCCTTGCACATGCTCAGATGCGATGCTTAGTTCCAAGATCAGCTTAAGCCACATCAAAGATGCCAGAACATCT